TCTGGATGGGACTGCTTCTAGCCACCATTCTAAGCACACATGTGAGTCATTGTCTGCTCACATACCTGTATAGCAGCTGATGCCCAGTGCCCCTGCCCCTTACTTGATACTCAATCAGGTAGTCCTGCTCCATGAGGATCAGCTGGCCCTTGAGCCTCTTCAGTTTCTTCATCTCACAAGCAAAGTCCTTCTTGTCTCGTTTCCACATGGCATCCTTCAAGAACCTGGTGCCAGGGTGCGGGCATGTCATCACCCAGTGACTGGGCTTCAGCCTGAGCTGGGAAAACTGGCTGCTGCTAAGGGCCTGGGTGAGAGTGAGAGGGGCTGCCAGAGATGAGATGAGCAAGATGACCCACCCCCATTGCTCCACGCCTCTTTGGCTAACTACTTCCAGTGAGTCAGGAGAGGAAAGTGTCTGAGAGTCTGATCACTACTCTTCTGCTGAGGCTCCAGGGACCTCGGGGTAAGGCAGGAGGGCAGTGCTAAAACCAAAGGAGAGAGGCCTGTGGAAAGCCTCTGGGAATAATATCCTAGGAAAGGGCTTCCTCCACAGACTTATCCCATAGCCATCTGGCTTCTCAGACCCTCTTAAAGGCTCCACCTTGGATGAGGGCCCCAGGGGAATGGCTGGGAGAGGGGAAGGGGTGGCAGGTGGTTCTCATAGCCTCACCGAGCACAGTTGAGGTGGTTCCAAATTCTGCAGTAGTCGATGGGCTTGCAGCCCATGGCATCTCGGGCATGGACATTAGCACCATTCTTTACCAAGACCTTCACACAGCTCAGCAGGCCCTCACGGGCTGCCAGATGCAGGGGTGTGGAGCCGTTGCATGTCTGACTGGAGGTCCAGCCGGTGGGAAGAGGGTGGGAAGAAAGGACAAAGGGCACCTGCCTATCAGATAGGTGGGCAAATCAGCTTCCAGGCCTGCTCTGCCACCAGCCCCCTGGGTGACACTGGCATGTCCCTCTCTGTCCTGCAGTTTCCTCAGCTGTAGAAGGAGGGCTTGGACTAAACAGTCAAAATCTGAGTACGGGTGAAGGAGAGCTGGATGGAGAGCTGGGTTGGCTGGAGCTCAGAGACCACTAACTTCATCCTCTTAAGTCAGCCAGCCTTCCTGCCCCTTCCCCATGCCTGGCCATGGCCCACAAGGCCTGCATGTCCTGGGCGCTGCCTCTTCCTCCACTTCATCCTCTGACCTTGCCCCATTCTTTCCCAACACATGGCCTTTGCACATGATGTTCCCTCTGCCAGGTTCAATGTTCATGGCTGGGTGTCTTCAGGTTGCACTTTAAATGTCACTGCCTTAAGAGGTGACTGCTCCTTCCAAAACAGATCCTCTCTCTGTCCCCTTTACTCTCCACCCCACCACCCTGTTTATTCCCTTCATACCTACTTACCACACTGTCATTCTGTTCATTTATTAGTAAATTAATAAATTTACTATCTGCTCCTGCACTGGGCTATTAGTTTCATGACGGCAGGAACCACTTCTGTGTGTTCACTGCTGTACTCCTCACCTCTGGCACAGTGCTTAGCACATAGTACATGCTAGATAAATATTTTGAATGAATGCTGCCTCCTGTATGCCATTTATGCCCTTTCCATGCATTTTCTCAATTATCACACTAGTCTCACGTGATAGTCACTGTCATCCTCTCAAATTTCAGTTGAAGACGCTGAGGCAATAAGTAGTTCCCAAACTTTGCTGCAAATTAGAAGCACCTGGGGATCTTTTATGACTTCCAAAGCCCAGGCCATACGCCAGACCAATTAAATTACAACTTCTGGATTGAACACAGGAATTGGTCTTTTTTGAAGCTCCCCGGGTGATTCTGAGGTACTGAAGAGCACTGAGGCTTAGGGTTGAGTGACTTGCCTGAGGTCTCGATGTTTGCTAGCAGGTGTCAAAGCTGGGACATGAACTAGGTCTGTCCTCTTCCAGAACCCAGTTTCTTAACCTGTACACCACATGGGTTCTCTGACTGCTTTACGTGGGACCCAATTCTTGTCTCCCCACAGCAACCCTGCCTGTCTGCTTGCCTGGAAGCAGGTTCCTATATGCCACACTCCAAGCCACTCTCTTGATGTAGGCTGGACTCACGTGTTGAGGGCCGCCCCGTGCTTAAGCAGATAGTGAATGCACGGGAGGACCATGGTCTTGTTGTCCCTGTGGATGACAAGGTGCAGGGGTGTCTGGCCATTGTTGGTGGGCTGGTCCACAGGAAACTTGTATTTCTCTACCAAGAGCTGTAGGCATTCAAGCTTGCCGCTCTGGGCTGCAAAGTGGATGGCAGTGAAACCCTGTGGGGGCCAGAGGAGGGCAGGAGGAGGCTGAGCAGGATTGAGGCCCCAGGGTCCACAACCTAACCTAGGTGGCAGTTTCTTGGGGTTCTCCTTCCCCTATTCCCTGTGCTCTTGGAGTCACTCACACCCCTTTCCCACTCCTGTATGTGCTCACTCTTCCTGGCTGCCCCCAAAGGGCCCTCCCACTGTGGGAAGGTGGATTAGGACAGTATATCCAGAAAAGGACACCTCTTTGCCAGGTGACCACCATGTAAGGAGCTCTTGGTGGTGGGTAGGGGAACCTCAGTCCTTGCCCCTGCACTCCAAGGCCTTACCTTGTTATCGGTAGGGATTTCCCCACGATCCCGGTTCAGACAGAACTGTAACCATTCCAGGTTGCCCAAGGCGGCCGCGAACAGTTCGTAAGAGCTTCCAATTGGCCCATGGTCCCACTCATCCACTGGGCTAGAGTCAGCGCGGGGGTGGGGGGAAGTAAGGGGGAGTGAGCAAAGAAGCGCGGGCTGGTCCCAGTCCCGCGCGGGCGAGGCTGTCACTTGCACTCGAGGCGTTAATGGAGGCCAGGCTAGGGCTGGCTGGCCGGCAAGGCAAGGAAGAAATGGCCATTGTCGAGGGCCCGATCTTCTTTGTGGAGTCTAGCCCGGGCCCCAGCCCGTACCCGCTGGCTCCTCAACAGTCCTCACCCTCCCGCTCCAGGCCCTGCCCCTCCAGGGAGGCGCTGAGTGGGTTCCCTGCCGCAGCGGGGCTATCTAGTCCTCAGCTCACCTGGGCTGTTTGGATTCAGAGTTACTCCAGTTGACCTTCGAGTAGGCTCTCTCCGCAGACTTCCTGGAGACACGTGGTGTTGGCAAGGACTGTGTGCTCCTCTTCTCCCCCCCGCGCACTGAGAGCCCACTCTGGGCTCGCAGGGTCCTGCCGGCCATCGGAGGCTGGACCTGATGCTGCTGGCGGGGCGGGGGCGGGGCCTGCTCCTCCCAGGCTGCATGGGGCGGGTCCAGGGGCAGAACCTGGGCGCCTCTGAGGGCCCTGGCTGCTGCCAACCCCGCCACCCCAACCGCCCCGGCCCGCTCATCCTGGAAATTCAGCATCAAATGCAAACACACCAGACTGAAAGATACTTAGCTTTTGTTTCTAATTATAAAATTAGCAAGCGCTGACTGTAAGAAAAAAAAAAGGGAAAAGAACAATGAGGAATTTAAAAACCGTAACGCTACCACCCACAGAAATCAGTCTATTACGATGTATATATACACACACCATATAGACATTTTATACCTCTTTTCATTTCGCGTTATGTTACGAGCTAACTTCTGCCGTCATTCCACATAGCAAACGCACATTGTGACGCAACCTAGCCCCAACATCAGAATGGATGCGCTGTCATTTCACAAGCGCTGCAGAAAGTAAAATGGCTCGTATCAGGTTGTTTTCTTAGCGGAGATTCCTGCTAAGAAAGTAGAGAATTACTAGGTGAAAGAAAATGAACACTTTTTTTTAGCTGTCGATATGTTTCCAACTGCCCTCTAGCAAGATTTTATATTCATTTACACATCCGCCTGCAGTAAAGCAGGTAGCACATCAGCGATGTGACTTTGGGCAAGTTGCCGGACTTCTGTGTCTCAGTGTCTGCATCAACAAAATGAGGAAAGCATATCTACTTGGCAAGGAGGGAAAGGATTCGAACAGTGAGAGAAGTGAGCTGAGTAATTTGCTATTATTAGAAGAGAAACTATTCCAACCATCATTAGCACTGGATATTATGACTTTAAAGAAATGTTGGCTAATTTGGTAGTGGAAATGGTTTTCTAAATTGACTCTGATTACTAGCAAGGGTTAAACAATTGATTATCAGTGTTTTTCTCTTCTGGGAGTTCTCTATTTATTCGCATTGTTTTTTGAGGGTCTTAATGTGTCTCACTGATTTGTAAAACTTATTAATGTAGTAACACTTTGTATATTTTTGTTGTCAATATTTTCCTCAGTTTGCCTTTTAACTTTTTACAATATACAGTAGCCAAGCAATCAGCATTGCTTGAATTAAGTGTTGAGTGTTACTGAATAATATGTATTCTCCTTCTCAATTGAAAATGGGCAAAGAACCTGGGTAGACATTTCTCCAAAGAAGAGATACAAATGGTCAATAAGCACGTGAAAAGAAACTCTGTATTAATCAGAAGGAAAATGCAAATCGATACCACAGTGAGATATCATTTCACACCCACTAGGATAGCTATAATCAAAAAGACAATAAGTATTGTCAAGGATGTGGAGAAATTGGAAGCCTCATACACTCCTGGTGGGAATGTAAAATGACATAGCCACTTTGGAAGTGGATTTGCAGTCTGGCAGTTCCTCAAAGGTTACACATATAGTCACTGTCTGACACCCAGACATTTCACTCCTAGGTATATACCCAAGAGAAATGGAAACATAAGCCCACACAAAAAATTTGACATGAATGTTCATAGCAGCATTATTCATAATAGCCAAAAAGTGGAAACAATCACATGTTCATGAACTGATAAATGGATAAACAAAAGGTGGTATATCCATGCTGTGGAATATTATTTGGCAATAAAAAGAAATGAAGTACTTATACATGCTACAGCATGGATGAACCTTGAAAATATTATGGTAAGTGAAAGACACCAGTAATGAAAGACCACGTCTTGTATTATCTCATTTATATGAAATGTTCAGAATAGGCGAAGGTATACAGGTTGAAAACAGATTAATGGTTGCTTAGGGTTGTGGAAAGGGCAGAAGAGGAGTCTGAGGGGTCATGGATAGCAGAGCAGAGTTTCTTTTTGAGGCAATGAAGTTGTTCTAAAATTGATTGTGGTGATGATTGCCTAACTCTGAATATACTAAAAGTTGTTGAATTGTACAATTATAAATACGTAAATTGTATGGTATGTGAATTACATTTCAGTAAAACTGTTATTAAATAAAAACAAAAGTTTTCCCCCAAAAGACTGTGAATTATCATGGGGATGAGGCTTTTATTCTCAGGGCCTCCTTTGGTGTCAGCTGGTGTCCAGGAATTCCGGCTGGTTTCACAACACATTGATCCAGAAATGGAACTCAGCCTTTTGCAGAAGTTCCATCCTTCCAACTCGCCCTAACTCTTAGGAAGCATGCATGACTTTACTGTGGACGAGGCAGAGGAGACAGGAAGGATGACATTCCAGAAGGGCAGGTGGGTTTCAGAGCAACATTTATATTCTGGTTTTTAGGATGTCCTTCACCCATTTTTTAACTGGGGGGCTTCTCCTCAGCCTTTTACCCTCTCCCATGTCCTAAGGCAACTCTCCAGCAACTCCCCTGCCTGTCTAGAGGACACCAAATTCCTCCCTAGAATCTCTCAGACAAACCTGGTTAGAGCCAGACACATCTTTTGTGGCCTAGACTGTCTTTCCCATGGCCCTTGAGCTCATGTTCCACCCAAGAGATTTATCAAGACATTTCTTAACAAAGATACATATCTCCCAAAGAGGAATTCTTTTGTCAGCTGTTAAGACATTAATGTGGCTTTTTTTATTTTTAAGTGCAGAAAATAGTTTAATGAACCTCATGTACCCATCACCTCCAGCTTTAACAATTTTCAGTGTTTTGACAATTTTGTTTTCACATAAGATAAACTCTTCATCTCAGTTCTTATTTGGGGGACTTTAAAAATAAAATACAAACACTTCTATCAGAACAAGACATAGAATACAGGCTTAACAATCTGTTCTTTCCCAGTACCAGGAAGCTAGGGAGAGGGATGGAGAGTGGGGGCCCTCCATAACCGGCAGGGGCTGAGGAAGCGATTGGTTCAGGTATGTGGGACCATGGAGGATGGGGAAGGGTGCGAAGACACGGTGCGGAGGGCAGGGGTCCCAAGACCATGCTCCGGGGCCAGGCTGCCGGCCGGGCTAGAGCACAGTGTCCGTCGCGGTGTCCTGCGGCGCCCCCTCGCGGGAGTAGAACTCATCGACTACGCTCTGCGGGATGCGCTTCAGCATCTCCTTCGGGAAGATGCGCAACAGCTTCCAGCCCAGGTCCAGCGACTCGAACACCGAGCGGTTCTCGTAAGGGCCTAGGGACAGAGCAGGAGTATCAGAGGGGAAAGGGAGAGGGAGAGAGAGAAAGGGAGAAAGGGAGAAAAGGAGAGGGGGGAATAGGCGTAGCGGGGTAAGGGGACTACTGCCTGAACGCCCCCAACGAGCCTCACCCTGGTTGATGAAATTCTTCTCGAACTTCTGCAGGAATTCCAAGTAGAGCAGGTCTTCTGAACTGAGTGCCTCCTCTCCCACCACTGCCTTCATGGCCTGTACATCCTTCCCGATGGCGTAGCAGGCATACTGGAGGAAGAGGCAGAGGGAGTGGTCACCGCAGGCTTATCTCCTTATCCCGATGGCCCCCAAACTGGCTGTGCTGGGGGGACTACTTTTGGAGGAGGGGTTTTGCTAAGAAAAAAGCTCGTGGTCCATACAGGGTTCAGACCTCCAACATTTGAAACCAACCTTCTTGCCAACCCCTGGGCCCACTCCTTCTTACCAGCTGGTTGGATACATCCCCATGGTCCTTTCTCGTCATGCCCTCCCCAATGGCAGACTTCATCAGCCGAGACAGGGAAGGCAGCACGTTGATGGGAGGGTAGATCTGGGGGTGTAGAAGAAGGGGTGACGGAAGGCAGGGTGTAAACTTTCCTTCCCACCCTGCTTCTCTCTGCTCTCCCCATAGTTCTCAGCGGACTGGTCTTCATTCATCCGACAAGAAGAAGGGCGTTATACCTGCCCTCCTTTATCTCCCACAAATTCTAGGGCTTGGGTGTGCAGCTGTGCTCCCAGACAGGAGCGTGGAGGGAGGACATGCCATGACATTAGTTACTGAAAGGCTCGCTATTTCAAAATTTTTGATTGTTTGGACAAAACCAGATTGAAGCTTAAGTTAATACCTACAAAGGAGCAACCTAACAAGAAGGGCGTTATACCTGCCCTCCTTTATCTCCCACAAATTCTAGGGCTTGCGTGTGCAGCTGTGCTCCCAGACAGGAGCGTGGAGGGAGGACATGCCATGACATTAGTTATTGAAAGGCTCACTATTTCAAAATTTTTGATTGTTTGGACAAAAGCAGATTGAAGCTTAAGTTAATACCTACAAAGGAGCAACCTGTCGAGCAAAGAAGAAAAAAATCGTAGAGTTGCCTTTAATCTCAGGTGGGACAGACAGGCATATTTTCTAACCCATTGGCATATTATTCACCATCTACTTGTGTCTGTTACTCATTGTTTTCTGTTCACCAAAGCAAGTTACTGGAAAGGGAAGAGAGATGGTATTTCTTTAGTATCTACTATCTGCTAGATGCTTTCTGTATGCCCACTTATTTTATCCTCAAAAATGCAACAGTAAGATAAGTATTATTATTCTCATCTTATAGAAGAGGAAACCTGGGATCAGAGAAATGAAATTATTTTCTCAAGATCCCATAGCCAGGTAGGCTGGATTCTACCCAGACCTGTCTTTTTTCTGTGAACCGCATAGTCTTCCTGGGGGGTTATCTCTCATTTGGGGTTAGCCTTGCCTGGCCCCTCCTAATTCACAGAGAGATGACACACAGGAGGTGGTGGAGAGAGTAGAAAGTGGGCGGGGAAGTGCAGTACCTGTCTGTTATGAAGCTGTCTGTCCACATAGATCTGTCCCTCTGTGATGAAGCCTGTCAAGTCTGGGATCGGGTGGGTGATATCTACAAGGAAATGCACTGGCCTTAGGGTAGATGGGGCCCAGGTCTCCACCCACTCCAGGCCATCTGAGTTCTTTTCCCCCCATGGGAGTGACAGGAGTGGATGGAGGCAAGGAAAGGGGAGTGTCTACAATGATGGGGGAACAGAGCTGCTGTACATCTGTGCAAAGAAGCATGGTTCCTTTAAGTGCCCAGGTGGGAAGGGCAGGGGGGCTGTGGAGGGTAGTGGGCAGTGAAGAGGCTCACCATCGTTGGGCATGGTGAGGATGGGGATCTGAGTGATGGATCCACCCCGGCCAGACACACGGCCCGCCCGCTCGTAGATGGTGGCCAGGTCTGTGTACATGTACCCGGGGAAGCCTCGGCGCCCGGGCACCTCCTCTCTGGCAGCTGAGACCTGCAGTGTCCATGGGCATTGGGGTAAGAAGAGGAGTGAGAGGCTGAGACAAGGAAGGGTGAGTGGGAGGTTCAGTGACTATGAGAAATGGAGCGGGTGTAGGTCTTGGTGGCGAGCTCTGTAGTAAAGGGACTGGGATGAACCTGACACCCCTCACCAG